ACTTACTTACATTCCTATAAAGAGGCACCTGCTTTGTGGATATCATGCAGGGTGGGTGAGGAGCCATTTAGGCAAGATTGCAAACACTTCCTTAACAAAATAGCTTAATTCTTTGGAAGATTTGTTTGTGTGGGTGAATTTAGCATGCTGCTATTCATTTTCCCCCTTTTCTTTCCCTCCCCTCCTGCAGATGCCTGCAATGATATCCCACTGAGGAAGAAAATGGTCACATTTACAACCAAAGAAGCACTAGCTGGAAAATGGATTGAAAGGCAGTAAAAAAAAAAAAAAAAAGAAAATGTGCAAGATCCTGGGGAAATTTCATCCCATAATTGAACAGCAAAATGTTTTGAATGTGTTTCCAAACTAAATCTTTGACTGGGAAGCCATATGTAGATTTGCAAATAGCTGTTGTCTCTTGTGTCCCTCATTAATGGAATAAGAGGCACTTTGTGTGTTGATTTTCAACCTATTTAAAACATTTAAAATGTTGAACTTTTGATGGACTATCACCACCACATCAAAAGACTGTTAAATACATGTGTGATTCCTTCAGGAAGAGTAAAGAGAAGAGAAGACCACAGTTATGAGTTAGCTGTTAAAAAAAACACCTCTTTTTTGCTAACACTTTGAGGTCAGTTTTGAATTATAATAAATTGACTTTATTAATAACTTACTGACATACATCTGAACAGGATTAATAGTGATTTCCTTTGTCTAATAACTATTGGGAATTGTGCTTCCAAATAAATGATTTAGCGTATCATCTCCAAAATACAATTGCTAAAAAGAAAAGCATAACTGTTCAATTGGTCTACAAGAGATATTCTTCTATTGTAGATCAGCCTCAATTGTGTCTTTCCAATGAAGCATTAGCAAAGAAAACAATTTTTCGGAAGTTAGAATGGAAGCCCAAAATATGGAACATTCAGCAAAAGGAATTCAGATGGACACTGAGCAACGATTGGAAACTTCAAATACAACTGATCCAATTATTGCTCCTGACAGTCCAGCCACAAAGGCTTCTATCTTTTGCTTTAAGAAAAGGAAAAAGTCTTGTGAGAAAGGAGAGGAGAAGGATGAGAACCATGAATCCATTTCACTTAGCTTAAGGCCTGCTAACCAATCTTCTGACATGGGGCACAATGAAGCAGAGGTTTCGAATCCATTTTGGACTTCAGGAGGGGCCTGGCTGGCTTTCAAACGACTAGTAACATTAAGGAGAAGATCCAAATCCTCTCTGAAGAAGCAAACACAGGCTTGTTCTCGCGTACATCTAGAGGTGGACAGAGGAGATTCTGGCAGGAAGCATGCCAGTTCTAGTTCTAAGATTCCCTGCCTAAGACTCTCCCGAAGCAAAAAAAGGACCAGCCATTCTCAAATAATAGAACAGCCTGATGGCGAGAAAAAAGGAAATGATACAGCAAGCATCGTGAATAACAAAAGTAACAAAGAGCCAGAGATTGTGGCTATGGAAGTTCCCCTTGATGCAAAGCAATCTCCCAGCAGAGGACTTCAGGAAGGAGAAAGTGACAGTGGAGCCATGACAAATACGGAAAATG